CCCCCCGTCGAGAATCCCTTGCCAACTCTCCCTCTAAAGGCTGTTGCAAAATTTTTATATTATGCAATCAGAAGACGGGGCTTGAATAGCCAAGTGACTGATGCATCTTCGTATTTCCCCTTATTTCCACGATGTTTCGTGCTTTCGTGCCAACAAAGGTTTTGTGTGTGCTCCCCCTAAGCTGTGGGGTCCTGTGAGCCAAAAATTCTACTTTGTGAGCTGCTGGCATTCAAGTGGTGAGCGAGCCGTTCGGCTGCTGCGTATATTCGTTTGCTCTGGAGCTGTTGGGTGATAGTGAGATCTTGGGAAAAAATGGTATTTCGCAGAGATAATATAGCCCAGCAGAGCCTGAGTAAAATAATTTAGACTGAGAGTCCATGTGTGATTAAAGTATAAAGTTTTTACTAAAATCTAGCATGGGAAAGGGTAACTGGGATGAAAATAACAACAGAGCTAAATCGGCTACATCTTTACACTACAAAGACAAAACCAAGAGAGGAAGATTATGGCTGCACTTCAGAACAACCAAACAAAGAGGGGAAAAGTTGAAAAAATGGTATTTAGCAGAGATAAGATACTTTAGTCCCAATCATATTCCTAGATCAGGGAGAAAATTCCCGGGCAATCCACATCTAAGGAACATTGATTACATGAGAAACATGTGACTTCCTGTGAGTAACATAAACAAACATTTAACCCCAGATATACTGAGTGTTTTCAACTCGTAATACCCAACAAGAGCCTTCCTCCTGGAGCTCAGACAACACATGTGTGAACCGGAGGCTTAAAAAACCCTGTGAGCTGGCTCACATCGGCTCAGCTTAGAGGGAACACTGACTCCCCTTTCCCACCCCGGATCTGATGCACGTGGAGACGAAGGCTGACTCCCCAATCTAACCACAGAGACATTCTAGCCCCGAGTTAGACCCAAATACTTGGGAGTTAATCTCATCACTGGCAAGTGTCGACCAAAGGCTTGCTTCCCGGTAAGACTTGGGTCTTATTGAGCACGCGTGAACTTTATTCTCGAGCACCTGAAGTTTAGGGGGTTTCGCTGCAAGCCTCTCCAGTGGGAATTTGGTTCCCAGCAGACAGCATCCGGGGTATGAATGGAACCCGGTTCTTTGGAAGCTTCCTTTAAATCAAGTCTCCCCATCCCAAACCAGCGAGAAGTTCTTCCGCTGTGACCAGACTGGGCCCACATTTCAAACATTTGACCGAAAGGATCCTGGAGAAATAAAAGCGGCTTAGCTTATTCGGGAGGGGAGAGAAAAATCAGCGCCGTACCTTTTTTGATGACGGATTGATCCAACAGGTTCATGCCGCTGTTATTTGCATCTTCCACCGCCTAGGAAGAGAGAAAAACCATTCAAATAGGCTGGCTATTAAGGTTCGAAGAATTCACGCATCTCTAGAGCGTCGACCCAGGGACGGGGGGGGGGTTGGGGGGAGGGATTGCTCTCTTGTTATTTCCATTTATATTAATTCGCTGGGGGAAAAGGGAAAAGGGTTCTTCTCATTAAACCGACACGCCGATGAAGCTCTTCCCAAATTAGAAGATCTAATCGAAAGAGGTGCGGAACATCTGGGCGATTTTCGGGTGTTGATTGGAACCGAACGGAAACAGCGACTCTCTAAGAGGAATAGGCCAGCGCTTCTGTATGGGTTTCAAGTGCAAAGGCTGAACCCACTGATCGCCGGCAATCCCTGGCTACAGCAATGGGCCAGGTTCTCCCTACGGCAAGCGCGATTCTCGATGTTATATGTTTCACCGTGTTTTCAATTGTATCGTATTTATCGAATTGTTCTAACCCGCCCTGAGCCCGTTTACGGGATAGACGGGATATAAATGCAATTAATGCTTTACTCGGGGTGATTTTGGTACCGGAGGTTGCCACGCACGAGTCAACAGCTTTACTCCGGAGCTGGGCCTCCGGGATCGAGGCCTTTCTCCCGAGGAGGCGTTTCTACCCTTACAGCCTCGAGCCTTACATGCCACATCGGCAGGGAGAGCCAAAGATTTGTTCGCAGTAG